GTGTGTGTGTGTGTGTGTGTGTGTGTGTGTGTGTGTGTGTGTGTGTGAAACCCAGAGGTTAATATTAGATATTTTCCTCTGTTGCTCTCCACCTGATTTTTCAGACAGGATCCCTCTCTGAACCTTACCCACCTATTGGCAGTCTTGCTGACCAATGAATCCCCAGGATCTGCCTGCCTCAACCTTCCCCTCAGACCCTGGGGTTATGGGGACATACCATCACAGCAGCTCTTTACATAGGTGCCAGGGATCTGAACTCGGGTCTTCCTGCTTGCACAGAAAATGCTGATACTGAGCCATCTCCCCAGCCCCACAGCTGGGTGTTCGTGTGGATGCCGTGGATCGAACTTAGGTCCCCATGCTTGAGTGGCAAGCACTTTACCAGTTGAGCCATCTCTCCAGCCTGCTGGCAGAACTTTTACTTTATTTTATTACCATTTTTTTATTTATTTTACATACTTACTACAGTCTCCCCTCCCTCCTAACCATTCCCCCTCTATTGTATCTACTCCTCCTCTGTCCCACTCAGAAAGGTGAAGGCCTCCCAAGGCCTCCCAAGGCCTGGAACAAAGCACAGTACATCAGTTGAGGCAGGACCGAGCTTTGCTCCCCACCCCCTACCCCACCCCGCATCAAGACTGGATTTTTTTTCAGTGTTGAGTTTCTGCTTTTTGGTCTTTTTTCCCCAGCATTAAACACCACATACCATCTGTTGGTAAAGCAACTTACAGGTTGTTTTGGGCAGTCACTGCTTCCTCTCTCTGTTCCTGCAGGTAGATTTTGGCTATAAGAGCTGTTGGGACCACAGGCATTCTGGGTCTTCCTAGTTTAAGAATGGGGAGCGGAGGGGAGGAGGAGGAAGGGAGAGGAAAAGGAAGGAAGGAAGGAAGGAAGGAAAATTATTACTTGATTATCTTAAACTTAAAATAAAATAACAAAGGTATTTCTGATGGTGATCTCACCCTTCTGATGTTGGATCAGAGGTCAACCAGGCCCCATTGGTGTCCAGGTGGCTGGTCCTTGTGTCTCCAGGTGAAGGATGTTTCTCTACCTGCATGCTTTTTCCCACGTGGCTTTTGGCATTCTCTCAGAACTTCTCCCCACCCCAGTTCTGCTGTTTGAATCTCCCCTCCTTTGAACCTCTTGGATTTCGATAGCCTCTGGTTCTCGCTCACAACACTCTCATTCACACCTGCACCCATCAGCAGCCAACCAGGACTCTTTTCTTCTTGTATTAAGCTTCCCTAGCTCCTATTAGCTTTGGTAAGTGAGCACAGGGGACAATGCGTTCAGTTAAATTAAATGTGCAGGTGTACCCTGCTTTAAGCATCATATGGACCAATGAGCCATGGGATACATGGGACGACTCCCTCTCCCCAGTTTCTCTGATTTTGCCTCTTAGTCTGTCTCAGACCACATCTTTCCATGGGGTGGAAAAGCCTGCTCCTACACCCCAATCCATATAGCTTTCATAATTCATTCATGTCAAAAAAAATGTGATCCTTCCTCCCAGCATACACTTATCAGATTGACCAAGGGATTCTAACTGGCCCAGCTGGGTCATGTGGCTAGCTGTAAACCAATCACAGTTGGTCAGAGGATAGAGTATTTTGATTGGCCGTGTCCCTGTCACATTCCCATTCTTGTTCTGGGTGAGTTTCACCCAAGTCACGTGGGTCCCCATAGAATAGTGGCTGAGCAAATAAGCCCAAGTTCTCATCTTGAGCAAACCTTACTTGACCTCTGAATGATCCGCTCAGTTGGGAGACCTCCCACGTCTCTGCATTCCTCAGCTCCCCTGACTTTCACCCTCATTCCTCCCAAGTTTTTCCTGGAACGTGAAACACTTCCCAGCCCTTCTCCTTCCCCTCTTTTTGCTCCCCTCCTCCCTTGTGCTTGACCCACTCTGAGCCTCTCTGCCTTTTAGCCTCCCCTGGTCATCGGCCCTCCTCCTTGGCTTCTTACTACTCCGGGCCCAACGTCTAAATATTTCAGCTGTTCTCTCAATCCCTCCTAACCTTCAGCCCTCACAACTCTGGATCACACAAATGGGAGACTTTGTCTTCTTGATGAGTGGCTTGTCCTCATCAGCCACTCTGGAGACAGTCATAACGGTACCAGTCAACCGGTTACTTATTCTGGCAAGGGCAATGGCAGCATATGGCTTTTCAAAGTCTGATATGGCTCAAACCTGAAATGCAGGCTCTCATCTGTTAGATGAGGAGAGAGATGTGCAGTTCTAGCCAGCCAGTGAGGTCAAAGCCGCAGTCCTCAGAGATTCTTAGAACAAGTAGGGCGTGGCGTTTCTTCGGTTTGGTGCTCTTTGGGCAATTCTAAAGAACTGCCTGCTGGCGGTACAATTTGATGTAAAGACTGTCCGTGTTCTTCCATGACGTTTCTGATCAGTAGGGATATTGGAGGCTAATTGACTATGTGGTTTTTTTTTTTAAGAGTTCATTTTTTTTAAATTGATTTTATCGATTGAGCTCTACATTTTTCTCTGCTCCCCTCCCTGCCTCTCCCCTCCCTTTCAACCCTCTCCCATGGTCCCCATGCTCCCAATTTACTCAGGAGATCTTGCCTTTTTCTACTTCCTGTGTAAATTAGACCCACATATGTCTCTCTTAGAGTCTTCATTGTTGTCTAGGTTCCCTGTGGTTGTGATTTGTAGGCTGGTTTCTTTGCTTTATGTTTAAAAGTGAGTACATATGATAATTGTCTTTCTGGGTCTAGGTTACCCCATTCAATATGATGTTTTCTAGCTCCATCCATTTGCCTGCAAATTTCAAGATGTCATTTTTTTCTGCTGTGCAGTACTCCATTGTGTAAATACACCACATTTTCCTTATCCATTCTTCGGTCAAGGAGCATTTAGGTTGTGTCCAGGTTTTGGCTATGACTTAACTATGTTCGTTTAACACGTTCAAAGTGATTCTTATCTTTTGGGATGGTTGGGAAACAGTGCTTTCTCATGCCATTTGGTTTGTGTGACTTGCCAGCACCCAGACTTCTCTGTTTCCCATAGATCCACCCTTTCCCAGTCTCCTTAACTCCTAGGGGGTGAGTTGACCTCCCTCCCCCACCTTGTGGAGCCGACTTAGAGTAGTTGACATGAAAGAACTAAGCCTGCCTGTAACATTACTTATAAACCCTCTTGTCTTTCTTCAAGTCTTTCCAATACTGGAGAAAGGGTCTACCTGGCCTCATCCTGTCCATATCTCTCAGTTCCCTTGCTCTGTGGCAGCTCTACTTCAATGGGGTCTTCAGCTCTTCCATAGCTGGCCTCTCTTCTGCCTGTGAGGATTCTCCTAAAGCTTCTCCCATCTTGTGCCTCATCTTCCCACTTCCTTCACCACCAAACTTATCCTTTCTCCTCATATCTCTCCACATCCTATAATACTAGCACTGAAAGGTGATACCACAGTATCAGTAAAAGTGCTTTTTAGACATTTTTAAAGCCTTTCAGGGAACTGGGGTGACAACCCAGTGAGCAAGAAAGCTTGCTTCACGAGCATGATGACCTAACTTCAAATTCCTAGACCCATGTAAAAAGTCAGACATGGCTGCACTGTGACTGTGCACAGTCACACACGTGTAATGCCAGTACTGGGAGAGGGAGGGAGGCGGCAGAAACAGAATGCTGGGGATCTCTAGCTAGCCAGCCACCCAAAACAACAGTGATGGACTTCAAGTTCAATGAGAGACCCTGTCTCAAGGAAATACGGTGGAGTGTGCTAGAGCAAGACACCCAGTGTCCTCCTCTGGCCTCTGCTCACGCTCCAGGAACACATCTGCACAACACACACCCTGCACAAGTGTTTTTGTTCTGAAATCATTTGAGGTTTTGGATGAGTGGAAAAAACAGTATAGGGGAGTCCCATGCACATGGCAGTCAGTTCCTTCTAATATTACTATTGCCTGAAACGATGAAATGTATGTTAGAATTAAGAAATGAACACTAATAAACTACTATATACTGAACCACAGAAATGAGCACTGATACAATGCTATCTGCGGAACATTTTACTGTTTTCCCCACTAATGTCTTAAAAGTGTATGTCTTTAATTCTACAATGATTGTATTCATTAACTTAATAATTAGAAAGAACAAATATAAAAAGAAAAAATCATGGGCATCAAAACACATCTAAGGCTGCAAGATGGATTAGCTGATGAAGCTGCTGGCTGCCAAGGCTGAGTTCCAGCCCTAGGACCTATATGCTGGAAGGAGAGAATTAGCTCTCCCGAGTTATCTTCTGACTTCCATATATACACAGTGGCTTGGGAGGGTGTGTGTGTGTGTGCACACATGAAAATAAATAAACAGAAAAATCTAATAAAAATTTAATAAATCTAATAAAAATTTGATAAAGCTAATAAAAATTTAAAAGGTCAACATACAACTGTTTGCTTCTTTTATAACACTGGGTAAACTATATACTCACACACACATAGAGCAAAAATACATTCATTGTGCCCTGCAATCCATTTTTCCCACTAAATATTATACTATATTGCTGTTCGTAATAGCAATTATACTTCTAGATCAATTTCATTTGATTATTTTCATTTTGTTAAAAACTAAATATTTTTAATTATTAAATTTTTTCATTTTATTAAAAGTTAAACCTTGTGGCTAGAGAGATGGCTCAGAGATTAGGAGTGCTTCCTGAGGTCCTGAACTTGGTTCCTGGCACGCCAGGACATGCACCACCACCTTTAACTCCAAATCTAGAAGAGCTGAAGCTTTCCTGTAGTCTCTGAGGGTGAACACGCACACAGGCGCACACACACTCGAAGACACACAGACTCACAAACCTATGTACACAGACATACACACAAACACAGAGACATACAGACACAAACACACAGACACATACAAACACATACACAGATACACTCACACACAAACACTCATATACACACACACA